TACCCATGAACTGAATTAGGTGGATCCGGGTCGGCTCTTGGAGATATGCGTCGACCCCGACGCAAACTTGGGTAATAGATTCTTATGGTGGCTCTGGGGACATGTTTTCTTTTTTTAGATTGCCAATGTGGAAAGTAACCAATCGTAATTTTTTCTCGGTGATGAAGCATGATCGTGCGACTTTCTGACTCCCCCGTATCATAAAGACTCCAGTTGGGGTCGGGAACTTCATGCACTGATGGTAAGTAGAGGATACCACTCAGTGTTCCCATGATGACGTTATAGATGGTCGGCTTGTCGACGACATGGCCATGTTCTTGGTATCAGCTTCCCCAAAGATAATCGGTATGTTGATTTCGGCTTCTGCCAAGTAGTTCTGGTGGACTATCACCTGCCTTTCGTGCTGTTTAAGCGACCTGACGGAATTGCTGATGGTCTGGAAACCTCCCATAATCATATAAATTTTCCTCTTTGAGGCCGACTTATTGTGGTGCAAACCTTTCTTGTTTGCCGATTGCTTCGGGGGGAGTGGGAGATCAGCATTGTTGTCGGTTTGTTGTTCATGAGCGGCCTCATTTGCATGCTGTCTGTCAGCCTGGCTCGCTGGGCCGTCTACTTTGACCTCATCGCTTTGGTATTTTGCCAACAGATGCTATTTCAAATGGTGATACTGGTAGGTCGAGTGACCGAAGAACTCATGGTAGTCGCAAAATGGCCTATTGTCCTTTGTTTCTTTGGCCGGCTACTGGCGAACTTTTACGGCCACGACTTATGGACATGGGTATGGGTCTCATTCTGAGCCTGGTTGTGAGTCGGCTTGTTGCCGATGACATTTTTTAGAAACTTTTCTTAGTATCTTTGAAGTCTTGGTCGAGATGTTGGCACGACTCATGGTGATCGTCATCCACGGGCTCCTTAGCTTTGACTTTTGAGGCATGTACCTTAGCTGGGGAATATTTCTTGAAGTTGGTCGCCCGATCTTCTTCAAGCATGATGTACCTTATGGCCCGATGCATCGCGTCTTCTAAGGTAGGAGCTTTGTGAAGAACCAGGTCGGTTCTGAAATCTGAGTCATGCCATTCAGGGCACCAATCGGCGATGTCTCCTCGACGTCTACCACC